AACCCCCCTTGCTTCCTGCCTCACCACTTCCTGCTCTCCCCCCTCTCACCCTATCCCATGCCACCCACGGCAAATCATACTTTTCCTGTTCCTGAAGCCCTTTCAGATGCTCAGTGTCACTAAAAATACCATATATGATAAACATGGTACACAAACTGAAAATAATCTTCCCTCAAATAAAACACCTGTTATCATTAGACAATACAGGTTTCCAAAAAGATTCTGACCTTATCCAAAAGCAAAAAAAAAAATACAATTTCCTCCCCCCCCTTTTTTTTTTGGCTGGAAGGGTAGTAGCTGCAACACAGAGCAGTAACATTTAATTTTTCTGCCTGTGTTTGTAATCAGAGCTCTGACAGACCCAGACACCCCATAAAACGTATTAAAAAAAGAGAAAAACTGCCATGTTTTACATAGTTTTTACATATCTTTGTTCTAAACGCTAAAGACCTGTGAGACATTCATCTCATCAAGAACAAACACACAGACAACAGCACAGCAGCCTTCAGTGATACAACAAAGGACAATTTAAGACAAACGACTTGGAGCAAATGCTATCACTGAATAATCCCACAGCAGCTGTCATAATTAGTTACCTCCAATCTCATCAGAATCAGGGAAGTTAGAGTTAAAACCGAGCTCTCTTCCTGTAACATTGTGTAACTCCAAAACAGCAGCATTATCCTCGCTATTTTAGAATTAACATTTCTCCATAAGATAATGTGGAACCACTCGATTCTTCCACGCCAGAACACTCGGTGCAAGCCGACAGATGACAAAAGAAACTCGGTCAAGTTTGAGCCTCTCTCAGCACCTTATTTCCTGTCTAAAGAGCCCTTTTGTTCTGCTTCCCTGCATAAATGTTAATATCCTGCCATCATTAGAGAGCGAAACGACGAAGGAAAAGCCCCACGCACATGAACTCCGCTGCCCCGGCGGGCGGAACGACGCCACACGACGCGATTAGAACCGCAAAATTCCTACCACCAAGATCTGCACAATTCTCTGCTCGCTTCACCCCAGATTAACTTCACTTGGAGCTGCACTTCGGCGCAACCTACCCCGGCCGCGGGGCCCCGCCCCCGGGCTCCCATTGGCCGAGGCGGGCGGGGGCCCGCCCCGCCGGCCGGGCCGCGCTCGCCGATTGGCGGAGCGGCCTGTCCGTCACGCAAAGAACTTTTCCTCGCTAGCAGGTTAGGCTGGGCGGGCTCGGGCACCCCCGGCGCGCGCTCTTAAAGGGGCCGCGTCCCGCTCCCGCCGTGACAGCCCACGGCCCCCCCGGGGACACGCAGACCCCGCGGGGCACCCACCCCTCCCGGCACGCAGCCCCCCGGCCAGGGGGACCGGGGATGGGGGACAGCAGAGCACCTTCTCTTCTCTTCTCCCGCGGCAATTACACAACTGCTGCTTGCTCCACTTCGGGGATAAAATTAGATGTGTGTTTGGAGCCCATCGCGCTTTAAGGGTGACTGGAGTTGCCCTGGGAGGCCGAGCACACTATATAAATTAGTAACCCCGGCTAAAAATACATCGGGTCGCCGGTTCCAAAGACTTCCACCCATTTAAAGCATGAGTCAGCAGGAGCTCCGCAGGAAGTGACTGTCTCCATCCCACAAGGTACCACGGCTCCTGCCAGAAACTTTTTGTGCTTATTCAGGCTTCACTCGGCTGAACGAATTTGCAAGATCCTGGTCACGTTGTGACAACAGCATTTCTCACGGTACAGCTTCCTCTCAGCACTAGACAAAACCCTGTCTTTTTAATCCTTAGATTAAAAGTGTTTCTTTTTCCTCAGTGCAAACACTGATGGGGTTCCCTATCCATCTATACAGTGAAAAGAAAAGTAAACACAAAACAAGGTTTGATAAATATTTCACAAGGGCAGATATGACACCTGGTTTGAGACAAACCTTGCCCCATTCCAAACAAGCTACACGAGGAAGAGCCACAACACAGTGTTCCCTCCTGCACCCACAAAGTATCATCATGGTTACACAAGACTTATCTGGGCAGCAAGGCTGCCTTGCATAAAACATTTTCGTGTGTTTAGTGTAAAACAACTAAAAATATTAAGCTAGAGGAAGCATAACCACATTTAGGTTGTTCTTCTGGCTATTGCCACCTTTCCTCTCCCAGTGCTGGAGCTGCCTGCTTTGCCTTACTTCACCCACTGCCAATACCACAAAATGGAGATGTTTTAACTTCCCTAATAGAGATTAAAAAGTCCAAGGCAGTTTAGCAAATACCACATAACATCAAGAAAATATTTACAGCTAAGTACTCCCTTGAGCTGTGAAACACCAAAAAGAGCATAAAACACACCTTCAGGAAGGATATTTAACTCTCTAAACCTGTGAAATAGCACATTTTGTGTTACCTCCTATTTTAGAGCGACCTACCATGCCACAAATTCAAACAGGACTGAAAAGCAGCAATTGGTACAGCTGTAAGTTGCTATGTATGAAGCAAGCACAGAAAAAACAACATTCACATAACTTCCCCCTCAGTACCTAAAATACAAGCTGAAAGGACCTGCCCTTAACCCTTGCATCTGAATTCAGTGCCCTGCCAGAGCCAGCACTGCTGGAGGTTAATCTCGGGTCCCCTGAGGATAACTCTGAGGTCACACTTACATGACACTTTTTTGACCAACTCTTATCTAAGCAATCAAAACCAAGAACACAGTTCACTGCAAACAAAACAGACTAGTAAAGTGTCCCTTAGGTATCACAGTAACCAATCTTGGAAAGCTTCAATTTAGAACACATTAACTTTAGGCCCATAAAAACAGCAACACAAGTCACAAATCATATCAATCAAATTGCCTAGTGTTAGAAGACACAAGAACCCTGAAGTCAGTGGTGTTGTTTGGGTACTTTCAAAAGGAGAGGGGAAAAGAAAACCCAAAACACACTACCCCAAAACTTTCCAGCTCTATAGCTACCACAGCAGTTTCACCACCTGGCAACAGCAACAAAAAGTAATTTTTATCATCAAACATCCAACACTTCAGCTCATGCTTCTGTTACGCAGGCAAGCAGGAGCTCTTATCACTAAGAGGGAGACATTTCATCCCTTTTCCTCTCCACCTCTCCCCCTTCATTCAGTCTGGCCAACTCCCACAGCCCAGCTCTGGTGCTCATCAGCCCCTTCCACCTGCCTCGAGTCTCTGGGTTGGCAGAAGCTTGGCCAGCCTCTGATAAGCAAGAGCATAGCTCACCCAGAGCACAAGGGGGATGGCAAAACACATTCTCCTCCATCCAGCACTGACCACCCAGATTTGCTTACCTCATCTCATTTAAAACCAAAACAAACCCACCCACACAACACAACTGTCAGTAATACTACGAATGCCCCAAGAGTAGTTTGCCTTCCTCGTAAAAGTGAAGATCCCCACATCATCTGTTTAGTGGGGTATCCTGCTAGGTTCCCCAGCTCACTGGATTAGAAACCTGTATGCAGATGTTAGCAATCTGAGCATAAAAAAATTACTATTCAAGTTATTATCCCATGCTGAAGGAGACCTAGTGAAACTAGACATTAAAAAACCCTAATTTTTTAGCATCAGTTTCTACACAAAAGCCACTTATTTTCCCTGTAAACACACATACATTCTGGAGAAAATGCAATGGCACCACTTTAAGGTCCAGGCTTAAGTTAAGCCTTTGCTACTCATACAATATCTATGGCAATGTAGAAAAAACCTAGAAATAGCAGATTGCAGCTACAAGAACATTAAACAGGGAAGCTTTGAAATCAGTGTTAAAAAAAAAAAATCAGTTTGGTGCCACCCAACTTCCCACTGAGGACAGTAACAGAAAGCACCTGACTCTCATTTGACTATTGTAATCATGAAACAGCTAAAGGGCCATTTGTTCTGTAATCTTACATATACAGAAGACAGCAAGTTTGGAGGACTTGACAGCTCAAGAGATCAAGAACAGAGCCTTTCATCTCTAAGTCACCAGTTCAAACAGAGACAAGAATAGTAGTGATCAAAAGCTACATGTGATAGCTGTTCAGGGATTAGATGAGAGATGGTTACTCGCTGTCCAGTTCCCAACAGATCACTGTGAACCACAAGAGCTTTCTTCAGTGGTTTGCACCTGTTTTTCAGTCTTGAACACATTACACCTCCTGGTTCTGTACATGTTAATAAGTAGCAAAGGAACTGATCTGCTGGGTGCACACACTGAACTGGCACTGGAGAAAAGGACTTTACCCTCTGGTTGTCAATTATATCAGCACTAATGTGCTGAACTTTTTATTTCTTATTATTATAGTTCTGACTTTGCTTTTCTTATTAGAGACAGATTTGAAAGTAGTATTTAGCTTCCCATTCCTTTCACACCCTCAAATGCTGCAATCCTGTTTATAAACAATAGTTCCCAAACTTGCTGGGTATTTTTGGAAATACATCAATTTTAAAAGCACATTAGCATAGCAATTTCAGAACTTTGGCATTTGATAAATTATTCTGAGACATTATTACTAATTTTTTATCAAACCCATACAACATTAACAGCATAAGGGCAATGTCTGCATAAAGACTGGAAAAAAAAGATCCTTGACTGAAGAAACCAACATTCCTTTTCATATTCTTATGCATTCTTCAATCAGTGTGCAGCTTCTGCAAAGTTTGTCAGCAATAGCCCCTTTCCAACCTGACTTTAGTTTTAAAAGTCTGCATAAGTACCTGGAATTTCCAAACTGGATAGGCAAGATGAAAACAAGTTCAGAGAGTATGTTGACTGAAGGTTCTGGGAGCAGGAGTTCATTGTCCCGCTACAAACACCACTACCAAAAACAATCTTCTACACAACCCCAGCAATACACAGGTCATAGTTCTTAGTAGTGTATTACTTCCTAAGAATTAAGTTGCTGATGAAAAGCCAAGATCCTAGAAACCTACCAGGAAACTTAATCCTTAGCTGTAACTAAGGAGGCCCTCACATACAAAGAATCCAACTTGCTATTCCAGGAGTTTAAAGAGAACATACCAGACTGATGAGATTTCAGTAATCTTGAACTTTGAGATTCCTCTTGCTGTTTTCAATCCAAGATGTACCACTGCCGTGCAATACTCAGACCTGGAAACAACAAAGAGGCACACGTGGTAAACACGGGGTCTTCAGAGAGGTCTGGTGACTTGTCTGGACAGCAGCACAGATACACCAGACAAACACAGTCCCTTGGCAGTTTTAGCAGCTGCCTCAAACCACCCAAATCTTAGCTACTCATTCATGTTAAATCCCAACTGTCTCCTCCTATGTAGGGAATAAACCCTTAACAGAATCATTTGTCCTGCCTCGTATTCCCCCGGCCTATAAAGCTGCACATCCATAACAGGTCTCAATCCCTCAGCAGTTGCCACGTTGCTTTAGTTTGAGGGGGTTTGTTCGTGGGTTGTTGGGGTTTTTGGGGGGGCTGTGATTTGGTTGGCTGGGTGGAGTTTTTTGGTTTAGTGGTTTTTGGGTTTTGTTTGGGTTTTTTTTTAATCAGGACACGGAACTGTAACTTGTACAGCTGCACCACCAAGGCCTCTGGTGATGAATGGCCACAACACTTGCCTTAGTCAAAGTCCTTGCAAAAGGATCTAGACATTTTTAAAGACATTTCCTTGACATCAGGTATCTCTTGGACGGAGCAAAAATAAGCATACTACAGTTTCCACTGAATTGAGCAAAGTCCAAGCACATTTATATGTAATCTATAATACTCTTTGTAGCTCAAATCAAGTATCTTGAATGCAAGTCATAGCCCATTCAGCACTAAAAAAAGAAAAAAAAAATAGAAAAAGCTGCATAGTGATTAGCTGCCAAGAAAATGGAGCCAGAAGTTTGTATACTTCCAATTCTCTCAGAAATCACACTGATTAATATAGCTGTTACAAAACGACACACTTTCACAGAAACAGGGATTACCTTTATCTGTAACCATAGCAACTTTTCAGTAGTTTGTGTTAATGCTACTCTCCCTCTGATAACTTGCCACTATCTCTTTCAAGCTATTTGTGTAAGGTTTTCAATGTGCCATCTGAGACCATGAAGCAAGAAGAAGTTGAAATGCAAACTTACATTCTTAGATCACACTCTTAAAAATATGCAGTGTCACACACACTGTTGTTCATTTTTGCCATAAATTCAAGATTAGTCAGGAAGTAAAATAATAACAGATTAAAATAAATTTAATATGATTCACAGGTTTTTAAGACAAACAAATATTATAAGAGGTATTCTATGAAATACATAAAGGAGGCAGTTTCTCCAGTACTGAAGAATGTCTTCTCTAACTGCAGAGTAGTAAACCCAAGGAATTAGGCCACTGATATGTCATATATTTTGTTCTGTAGTATCATAAAAAAGAAAAATCCTCCCCAAACATAATTATTTTGGCCTGAACAAATATATAACTGATCAGAAGAGAGCCAGTCCCCTTGTTCTATGTTAGGTGCTAATAAATATAAACAACAGGTGTAAGTACCTCGGCACTGGAAAAACAAATCAAGCAAAACTATAAAAGTTAGAAGAGAGACAGGAAGGAGACAAAGGAAGGACTTTACTTCCTCAATTGCTGAGCTACCATCATCCACAGTTCAGATAAGGACAAGCACTCTGTGACAAGAAATTTTTTAAGATGACATCAGACAAACAAAGTCATTTGCTGGGAAGTAGTAGGAGGAAGAGCATAATTTCTTCTTTATTTTTTTTCCCCTGAAGCTCACAGGGCAGCTTACCAAGCTGTGCCCTTCTCTCTCCAGTATACAAAGAGTTTGGCACAGTTAAGATGCAAGCAAAGAACCTTAGAAGAGTGAAAGAAACTCGGCACACTCTTTGCTCCTTGTAACTCTTACGCAATGACACCTATTATAGGACAAGTCTGGACAAACACTCGGGGAATGGACTCCAGAACACAACGGTGCACTTAAGTCAGTCCACGCAGGGGCTGAAGCAACTACCATGGTTTTGCTGAATGCCTCCACATTACATCAGCACATGTGGTGGAGGCTTCTGTATTTCGTTGTTGTTGCTGCTATTACCAGTAGAGACAGCTGCCCTTTTTATTTTTTAAGATTTCCCAGTCCTAACATCCCGTGGAAACACCAGTGGATGTTTGCATCCCTTATCTATCACTCCAGGCTTTTTACCTAGGAATTAAGTTTGGGTTAAATTTCGCAGAGTTCTTGGGCGAACACCAGCACAACAACAAAAACAACTTTTCACACGATAAAACTCAAAACTACGACAGGCTGTGTTAAGTTTTAACCCTTGGCTTAACCAGGGCTGTGCCACAACCCCAGGTGAATGCTGATCCCCGGTACCTCTGTCCCCACACCGGCCAGAACCGCTGCTCTTGGCTCACCCGAGGGGCGGCGAGGCCCGGACAGCCGGGGGGAGCCCCGGGTCTGACAGGGCACCGCCGCCGGGTCCAGCCCGGTCCCCACGGCCCCCAAACCCCCGCGGTCCGTGCGGGGCCGGGCCCGGCCGGCGCAGCGCTGGCGAAGGGCCGGCTCTGCCTCTCCCTTCCACCCAAGGACACGAGTACAAACACCTCTGCCCCGGGATGGCTCCTGCGCACGCAGCCGCCCGTCGGGGGGTGGGGAGACGGACGACGGAACCACCAAAAAAGGCAGAAAAAAGACCCGCAGAGGGCCCCGCGCCCGCCGCCGCCGCCGCCCCGCAAGCCCCGCGCCCGCCGGTTGCGGGGCTCGGGGGTCCGCAGGGGGGACTCTCCCTGCAGCCCCCCAGTCCCTCCGCCGCTCCCCGGGGGCGGCGGGCGGCCGCAGCCCCCCCCCACACCCTGCCCCGCCACGGTGCGGGGCCGCAGCCACCGCCGCTGCCCCGGCCCGGCCCCGCCGCGCTCCCTCACCTTTGCCGGGCCCGCCGCGCCCGCCCGGCCCCGCTCGCTCCGCACCAAACTTTTTTTTCCCCTTTCTCCGTGTTTCGTTGCCCTCGGAGTGACGCGGGCGGGCGCTGATTGGACGAACCCGGCAAGGGAGGCCGCGGGCAGAAAGGGGGCGGCGCTACGGCCCCGCTAGTAATTATGGCAAGGCGACGGCGGCGACGTCAACCACGGGATGGTGTTTAAAGGGACAGCGGCCCGTCCCCGGCTCCCCCCCGCCCTCAGGAGTGACCTGAGGCGAACGCGGCGGCGGGAGGGCGAGCGGGCAGCGGTGCCTCGGCACGGCGTCATCCGCCCTCCTCCCGCCGCAAATAAATTCATTTCCCTGTAAATAAACCCCTGTGTGTGTGCCTGCTGCCGCTCCCTCTGCCCTTCGGATCTGTGAGGGGAAAGGTTTCCTGCCGGAGCGCGGTCCGGGCGCTCGGTGGGGTTAGTCGCTCACCCGCAGCCCCCTCGCTTCTTCTGCCCTGTGGGAAGGCAGCTGTGGAGTCCCTTGCTACCTCTAATGTCACATGCTTGTCTCTGTTTTCTTTTCCCATGGGGCTCTGAGACAGTCTACCACAGCTTGTTTTCATACAGCCCATTTCCACCTCACACCCACTCTCTCTTAAATATATATATATATAAAAATATATGTATTATACAGTCTCCTCTCTTGTCACAGGTGGCTCTAGTCCACACCACGCAGGAAGGTTTAAAGGTGAGATTTAAGGATGATGACTGACTTGGCAGCTTGAAGCAGATAGGAAGGGAGGATGGGATTCCAGGGAGATAAAACAAGCCAAATAAAAGAGGAATTTTATCTGTGGATAGCAGAGAGGAGCAGGCCAAGGCTGGAGGAGCTGCCAGGAGGTGAGTGGCGTTTGCAGGGAGTTTTGGAGGAGAAAGAAAAGTGAGCAGTTGTGAAGCCAGAGAAGCTGAGGATGGGTAAAACATGTTTCCATTTCACAAAATCACAGAATATACTGAGTTGGAAGGGACCCATCAGGATCATCGATTTCCTTGGGGAACTGTGAACAGATTTTAAAATTTTGGGTCTTTTTTTGAGCAGAGGAACTCCAGACCATTGCAAGAGGATACAATAAAGATTTCAGCAAAGATAAAGTCCAAGTAGAAACCTCCCTAGGAGCTCACTGTTATCCATGTTGTGAGCTGAGTAGGTAGATCCATAAACCTGGCAAAAGCACTTAATGGGAAAAAGGCATCTATTTTTTTTTATTATTTTGAATATCTGTGCTTTGATCAACACCAGAAAATGCTGGCGCAACCAGCGTGGAAGTGCTAACATAGCTTTACAGCTATTTCAGTAGAGATTATTCACTCTTGGCTGTCTTAGCTGATGCAATAGGTTTTCCAAATGCCAGGTTGCATGAACAGAAGATGACCTGCATTGCATGTGGGTATCACAGCATTCCCCACAACATTATTTGGAGCGCTTTCATGGTCTTGGCAGTAATCATAAGGAGCTGTGGGGAGTGATGATCACATTCCTCCAAGCCTCTCCATGATCATCTTTTTTTATATGATTTTTTTTAAAAACCCCTAAATTCCCTTTGGTTGCTCTCAGACTGCTTTCTTTGTGCTAAGTTCCACCTCATAATTAGAAATATAAAGGCAGAATACTAGGGTGGAACATTCACAGTGTTTAGGAAAAGGCCAACTGATTCTTCTGCAGTTGTGAGTGACCAGCACAACAGCTGGCAGGGCAGCAGTGGGAATAAAAAAGAAATTGTGAACAGTGAACAAGACGATCACCTCCTGCCAGGAGTTATTGACCAGCAACACATGGTGAAACAAATGTTATGGCATCAGATGTCATGGGGGGGCAGCAGAATATTCAGATGTGATCTTGCTGAAGTTGTGTATGAAGCTTGTCAGTTTTTTGATGTGCCAAAATGAGAAAACTCAGTTACAGTAATGCTAGAGTAAGTAGGTTTCTTGGAGCATTCAGAATCAGTGTGTTTGGTACAGTCAGAAGCTGCTACAGCTTAGAAGAGGAAAACAACTGGGAAATAGGCAACACAAAGTTTTTTATGCCATTTGCACAAAAAAAAGCCAGTAGTCAAACTATCTCTGAGGAAGAAAAATCATAAACCAAATGGCCAGGCTTATTCCTTGAGTAGAATGAAGGATGCAGTTAAAAATTAAATGTACATGTTGTTCCACTGTGAATGGATGGCATAATATTGGAGAAATAGTGTTCAATTTTCTGATTTATGGATCTCAGGACTGATAGATTAAAAAACCTGGCTGAAGTCAAGTAGGATAAGGACAAAGAGAGAAGTGTATAATCAGAGAAATGAACTAAGGTGTTAACTACCCATAAAAGGGCATCCTTGACTCTGAGCAAGGGTCAGAAATCAGCTGAAGAGTCAAAAGTGATCCTGAGCCAGTAGCTGAAAACAGAAGCCTGTTTTCTGAGGACCACTGCAGAGAAGGAATTAAAAGCTATTGGTCCACCTTAAGTTGATCAGAATAGTTTTGATTTTTAAGAGTGCACAAATGTTCAGCAGGACACAGGATTGCCTGAAGTACATGAACTTCAGCGGGATGTTCATCTTCATGGAACAACTTCATTCTACCAGACATGATTTTGCTTTGATAGAGATGTCCTAAAGAAGCTACAGGCAATTAAATAGGGGATGCCAGTACAGGCTGAAACACCCAGGAGAGAGGTGAAAGGTTTCACAGCTATGCCAGCAGTTTGATGATGTATGGCAAAGTGGAAAAATCAGTGAACATTACTTCCTCATTTATAACATCCCAACTGACATGGTGTTTATTCGCCTTGACCTGCATTACTTAGATCTGCTTTCACATGTTAATGCTCCCATCACCCTGATATGCCAGCACAACTTATTTTCATGGTTTTAAGGACCATCTATTCATATACCTCTTTAGAAAATATTGGCACAATTTTTCTGAAAGGAGTTTCTTCTGATTTTTACTCCCTTCTCCTAAATCCATTTAATCCATCTGCTAACACAGAGGACCTTTTCCTTTGGTTCCTTTTATGTTTGCTTCTGGCGTAGTAGCTTGTTATTTCTTTTGCTAAAGCTTTAGAAATCACTAGAGGAATCTCACTAATGTATTCATTTTGAGGTAGATTTATCTTCAGAGCTGGTAAATGGGAAGTTTCTTCTTCACTTCAGTGAGCTTTGGATCCTGTGTTTAGAGCTAACATCATTTCAGTTCTTCTAATCTTGTTGTTTGGGGCCCAGTGTGCAACCCCCAAGACTGCTGAGATTTTCACCATAGGCTTTAATGAGAGCAGGATCAGCCCCTGCTTCCTGAGAGATAGCCTATAAAAACCCAAAAGAAATAAGCACAAAGTTTTCTTGAACAACTGAGTCTTAAATTTTATTTTGTTTGATTCTGAGTCTCTCCAGATTTTTTTTTTATCCACAGCCACTTTGACCTCTGTTCTGTGCCTTATCCTAACAGGATGAGCTGGCTAGGCCTATTGGAAATTGGGCCCAGCAGTTATTTGGCAGTGGCCTTCAGGAGCAGCAATGCCAGGTCTCCATTGCAATGCCCACATTCAGGGATCTGTAGAATTAGAGTCCAAATTCTGCTCATATTTGCAAGCCCAGAATGCCACTGATTTCAAGGGGGTTGTAGGATTTTAGCCAAGAGCAGAAATTGGCCCAAGATCTTTTCAGACTCCCTCATGCTTCTGTTTATATGATGTAACCATCAAGCTCTAACAGCAAGCACCATAATGCATTTTACTTCTAAATTACATAAAAGATATTTACTGTCCCTATGCTACATAGTTTGCAAAGAAAAATGCACATATGGAAATGAAAAAACACCAATTACCATCAGGATTTCCAGCTTTCAGCATTCATTTTCCAAAACAACCCAGAGACTATTTCTCATCAAAGACATGCAGAAATGAAAATCCCTTTTCTTGGTATTTATGTATGGCATTCTGGACTCTTACTCATGAAGTCTGTTGTGAAAATGGCTGGAATAAAAAAGCCTCGTATTGTACAGAGGTTTAATACTCTGCTTTTATTTTCTATATAGTGTTTTCCAAGTCAGAGATGAGTCCATCCCTAAAAATAATTAAATGTTTTTCTGCTTCTCAGAGAGAGGGAGAAGAGATCGTCTGGGGAAAACTGAATGATCACCGAGGACAACAGGTAAAAACACTGGTAGAGGTTGAGAATTAATGGATCAAACCTGTAAACACAGGCAAGTAGGATGCCAGGCACAGCATGTGGGACAATGCCCACCACTGCCAGAAAGCATCCAAGGGGCCAGTGGAGCCAGGTCAGTGCTGCCCTGCCCAGAGGGATGGCTCCTGCTTCAGAGCCAGCAGCTCACTGATACTCTTGGAGCTGCACAAGGGACCTGGTTTGAGAGCAAACCAGCTGCTCGGTGTGTTCCTGGAGCAGGAGCAGAGCAGGATGAAGGGCCTCCACAGCACAGTGCTCCATGTTGGTCCTGGTCGGAGCTACTGGGCTGTTCCATACTTTCGAAATGAGGCAGATTTTGTTGCCACAATGGTTGCAAATTTGGGAGCTTCCTTCTAGATAGCCTTGTTTAGAAATCTGGGCTGGGGCCTTTTAAAGCCCTAACGACTCCCTAGTTAAGCTTTTATATCCATGTTAAATAATTCATTGAGCACGGCTTGGTATTCAGGAGAACAGTGTGCCATTGTCGGCTGATGAGTAACTTTCAGCAAAGAAATTATTTTGTACCTCTGTGCTTTTTCTTCGCCCGCATCTGCTTTGTCTGTGTAAATAGTAAAGTCTTTCAGGGCAGGAGTGGCTCATGCTGTGCGTGTCTAGTCATCAACACAGCAACTCCAGTCTCACTGAGAGCCTCTCTGTGCTCCCCAGCCCTGCCTGTAACAGAACCATCTTAACACATCAGCCTCTGTATATGCCTTGTATATCCTGTTTATATGCATATGCCTTTCACCCTATGGTAGAAACGGGGTTAATTAATATTAGTTACTATTTAAAGCTAAAACCTGGACTCCTAAATTCTGTAACATTAAAATAGCCAGATACCATATGCATAAGCCCTTACACAAATAGGTTACTGTAAAAGAA